GCTTTACCTGTGCTATTCTCGTATCCAGTAAAAATCCTCGCCCGGCCAAGGTAACCTAATCCGGGGGCCGAGTCGGAGGAGGGGGCAGTTGAGACCCGCTCCGGTGAGGAGGGAGGTGTGTACCTCGCCAGGAGCAGGGGTCTCTCCTTTGCTCCTCCTCCTCCCATAGGGAAGGAAATTCGTCTATGGTTCGGGTGACCGAGGAGGGAACCCAAGGCAAAGGGAAAAGGAAATCGGCTTCCACGTCTCAGTCTTCCTGGCTCTTCTCTAACAGGCATTGGGGATCCGCGCGCGGCGGCTGCAGCGGGGACGCGCGCTGCCAGAAGGCACTGCGGTCTCAAGGGCTCCTGGCAAGAGCTAGCGAGGCTGGGGACCGGCTTCCCTCGTGGCCTGGCTCAGGTTACTCTTGCCCCAGTCTCCTCTTTACAGCTTCCAAGGCTGAGATAAAACAGGCAGGGAAAAGGAACCTGCACCTCCCCAACCAGACCTTCCATCCTAGGCAGCCTGGCCAATCTTCCCGAGCACCCTGGTTTTGGCGGCAGCCCGCACTGGGAATCAAATGTCTCTTGGTGCTTATTGTTTCTTGCTAATTGTTCCAACAATGGACACTGTTAAAACTGAGACACCCAATTAAAGGCCCCGCCAGGCCGCCCGCAGTTCCTGGCAAAGCACAGGGCCCGGGCCTGAGGTTTGCAGACTGCGGGGCCGCGAACCCGGCTGGTGAGGGGCGCCGGCGCCGGCCTCAACACCTCTGGCCTCCACTTCCTCTCCAGACTCTCAGCGACCACGGCCGCTTCACACCATTTTTATTGACTGATCGTAGCCAGGAAGATTGATCGAGCTGGAATGGGCAGGGACTTCTCCCCCAGCTCTCCGGCTCGCCAGGGCCGGGACTGCGCTCCAGTTTCTGGTGTTTGGTACCGCTCTGCGCCGTCCCCGCCCCCCACGCCCCCACCCCCCACCCCGCAGCCTAGCAGGTTCCCGGCTTCTTTTCTGTCTTTAACAGCGCGGTCGGGTCCGCCCAAGCCGGCGCCGCGGCTCCAGAGGGAGGGACGCGGCGGCGCGGCCCGGCTCCGCTTCTTTCTCCCGCCTGCAAATATTTGCTGCCTCGCTGGAAATCCGACTATTTCGCGCGCCCTAGGCTTGCAAAGTCCTTAAGTAAACACGCTCAAATGACCGCCCCGGGCGGTCTGAGGCACGCTCACTACCTCAGCGCGGGATTAGTAACTTTAGGACTTCGACCCCGAGGCTTGGCTCTGCTGATTACCCTCGGCGGGCAGCGCTCCCGCCCCTGGGCTGTTTCTTCCCGCATCTCGGCCCCGCGGAGCTCGCCCGGACTCGCCAATAGCCAGGCTCGGGTGGTTGCGTGGATTTCCGTTTTTGGGGTCCGCAACCCCAGAGCTGAGGTCTCGGAACCCGCTCCACTTGCTTGCGCCTGGGCCTTCGGCTTCTGTAGGAGATCGGGTTTCTCCACTTCCACACAGACAGGGTCTCTGCGCCCCTAAGAGGGCGGGTGGGAGGAACTTGCATATGGACATGTGTTGGTGGGGGGTGTCCCAGTTTACCCCAACCCAGAAGAGATAGTCAGACTCCATTTCTTACCCTTTCCCCAAGAGGGCACACATACCCCGCTCAACTTGACGCCTAAAGCAGCCGCCTTGAGGCCTGGGGTTTCACATAGGACAACCTGGCTCCCGCCGACTCACGCACCGCACCAGGACCAGGCTCTTCTGAGGGTGGTGGATGCTCTGTCGCCTGCTTGGCTCCAGGATGCTGGGTTACAGGCATCCAGGCCGTTCGCCAGCCCCTTACCCTAGTGAGGAAGGCCTCGTGCACTACGGGAGCCAGGGACCCTACAGCAACCGCAGCGGCAGTGTTCTCCTAGGTCGTCTCCTCTTTCCTCCAACGGAGCTCCGCCGGCCGCTCTCCGGGAGGACGCGACACTCTCTAGACCTGGCCGGAGCCCGGGTGCCTGGAGAGAGGGGTTCGGCAGGTCTACAGGAGGGCTCTGATGCGTCTCCATAGGCGGCGGGGATCAGCTTTGTGGGCTCTGGCAACAAGAAAATCAGGACCACCTTTCCCTCCTTCCCCCCGGCTTTGAGCCCCCTCCCCTCCCCCGCCCGCCCGGGGAGGAGGAAGCCCGGCCTGCATTTGCCGGCGAGGCGGGTCAGGCCGGCGCCTGGTCTGGCCCAGACCCCCGCAGCCTTGCTCTCTGCCTCAGGCCACGCGCCACAGCCTCTCCGGTCTCGCTCCCTTCCCCCTTCCTTCCCCGTGGGTCCCCGGGCCGACCTCGGCCCTCCCTCTCTGGTATCCCCCTCCCCGCCTTTTCCCTCCCCCCGTTCTGTGCTCCTGACTCTAGGGCTGGGCCCGTGACGTCAAACCCAGTGTGGCGTCGGCGAGACTGGCCGGCGCGGGCCATCAAAAGAGCAACGTCCTCTTTCCCAATTACCCACTGTCAGTCCGGGAACAGGGGCGGACCGGCTGGGAATTACATGTTAAATACCCCCTACAGGCTGGCTCCATTTCCCCGGGCATCCAACCCTAGGCCCCCCACCATTCTCTGCCAGCCGCACACCATCTAGACCTAGAGGGGTCTTCGAGATCTTTTATTTTTCCAAGGATGTGGAAGGGGAAGAGGTTGCCCTTCTGCATCCCAGTTCAGTCCGAGTTGGTGCTTGTGATGGAATTAAAACGAATACCCCCCCCCCACACACACACTCCCACTGCAGAACCCCTACACCGGAAGGCCTCCTTGCAAAAATTTCCTTTTTATCTTTTAACATTATCCTTAGGCTCGGAAATTAGCATTTCAAGTCCTGCTGTGAGAAGCTCTGTGTGTGTGTGTGTGTGTGTGTGTGTGTGTGTAGGATGGTTCCCTATTGCCCTTTCTAGGGCTTCATGGTCTCGGTGCCCAGGACCAAAGAGCTACACTTGGCTTTTCTGAGAGGCTCCGAACTGGAGGCTGGTTGACACCCACGTCTTGACTGACTCGCAAACTCTTTTCATTTTTTTTCTTTTAACTTCCATCCTTAATCCCGGGCCTTTCAGCAAAAATGTGTGTGCGTTCTCTCTCCTTGTTTATGGAGTGGTTTCCGGTGAATGTTAGACAGCAACTAAATAATTAAAAGGTTTTGAAAGCGCCGTGAGCTGGAAGAGATGCTGGCAGTTTGACTGGCCCAGGAGAGACAAGTGGTCAAGAGTGAAAGGAAAATCGATGCTCCTTACTGGGCCGCCCTAATAAACGGGAGACCAAGGTGGGCGCAGAGAAAGGCAAGAGGTTTTTTTTTTTTTTGCTTTTTGTTTTAAACTGAGAAAATTTTCTTCCTGTTCTATATTAGAATTTCAACCCTGGTTTCAAACAAATATCAGGTTTGAGAAGGTGAGGATGCAAAAGAAGGTCCAAATCCAAGACTGTGAGGACCCACTCTTCCAAATTTTACCAATCTTCCTATAAGGATTATGTTTAAACAGAACATTCCACACACAACAAACTGAAGCTGAATATTGATGTTTTTCCTTCATCCTGAAAAGAATCCTTCAGGACTTACTTTTTGGGGATAGCCTCTTCTATACTGATAGTTTGTATTTATGGGAAATTTTACGGGGTAGAGAATTGAATACGGAATAAGGTCTTCAGTTCAAACAGTCCCACCCAATCAAACCTCTCAGCCCAGTCGGTGAGAAGGCCAGTAGGGGAACCCACACTTTCTACTGGCATACTTTGCTCTGGGGTGGACCTGGGTGGAGTCTTCTTTTCCCGCCTGACCCTGCTCTCTGGGGCAGCTTGTTCGGGCGGTTGAAGCAGCCTTAGCGCCACTAGGGGATGCAGTGGCTCAAAGGACCGAATGGGGCCGGAGAGGTTGGAGCCCGCCGGGCGGGCCAATTGCGGCCCGGCCAAAGTCTCGCCCGCTGATTGGCCCTTCTTCAGGCCCCGCCCCACAAAGCACCGCCCCCTCTACCGGGCGTCTGGAAGTCGCGCTCCCTCCGCCCGCGGCTGCTCACAGGGCTGACCGAGGCCGGGAGACCCGCAGAGCCCTGGCTAGGTGGTTACTGAGTTCTGTCTGGGAGGCCGGGATTTGGGTCGGTGTAGGGGGCCGGTTTTCTCGGCCGGGGGAGAAACGCTGGGAGCCCGAGTAAGTAGAGCGAAAGGGGAAGTTTGGTAATTGGAGCTAAGAGTTTTGTCTACTCGGACTGTTCTTGGAGGACCAGCCACCCCCCTTTTCACCCATCATGATTGTCACTTAGGCAAAAGCACACATCGATTAGAAATATTAGGTCTGGAAAGGACAGCTACAACAGCTGAAGCATTTTCATTGGGGAGGCTTGTGAAAGCAAAAGGCCGGGGAATCTGGTGACAATGACAACAAAAGTAACACGTTCAATCAAATCCATATTCCCTTCACTTGATTCCTCAATCTCTTAGGAAATTGGCCCAAGAAGCAAATCTTAAAAGTATGTTCATTTTAAACATTTTTTTTCCCTGATCGGTGTTACATGCACATAGCTCCAAATTGATAAATTCTCAGGAATACACTATGTTGAATAATAAAGTTGTCCATGAAAAAAAAAAAAGTCTGAAAAAGAGAAGTCGAAATTCACTTTATGAATGGAGCAGGAGGGTTTCACCGGGTCGGAATAATCTACCGAGCCGGTAGGAGCTGAAGCTACATTTAAAGGGCCAGAGCGCGAAATCTCCTCTGCCCGCCCCCTCCGCCGCAAATCCCGGCCGGCCTCGCCCACCCTGCCTGCGGCCCCTCAGCCCGAGGCAGCCCTCCACGGCGCCCCTTTCCGGTCAGTGCAGGGTGGGAGGAGGGGCGGCGGTGTGCGAGGGGTGGGGGTGAAGTCCTGGAGCAGGTTTGGGTTGCAGTTTCCTTGTGCTGGGGATCCTGTCCCCTCCTCGCCAGCGCCAGGCTCCTCCCCTCGGCGCGGATGACACTAGAACCTCCTTAAGTTGCGTCGCGCCACAGCTGTCTGCGAACACTGAGCTGCCTGGCGCCGTCTTGATACTTTCAGAAAGAATGCATTCCCTGTAAAAAAAAAAAAAAAAAAAAAAATAGAGAGGGAAGGGAGAGGAAAGAGAGGGACGGAGAGAGAGCGAGACAGAGCGAACTACGCAATCTGACCGAGCAGGTCACACGCCTCCTCCTCCTCCTCCTCTCTGCTCCTGCTACCCAGGTTGGTACTGTAACTTTTTTTTTTTTTTAAAGTTTGATTTACCACCATCCACTTGGGAGGACTTTTTAAAAAATTAAAATTCAGCTCTCCTTTCTGGGAGGGTTTCCTGTGGCTGGAAAGAAGTTCTCGGGACCGCTGTCCCCAAGGGAAGGACTTGTCCTCCAAGTTGTAACCAGTCAGTTCGGGGCTCCTGCGAACCTGGCAGCTGGGGATGTCCTTGGGAGCCTTGCTTCCTTCCAGCTGTGTCCCAGCGAGCGTGTGCGTGTCCCGGGTGCGTCGGCCCGCGGGGCGGCTCGTGGGGATCTAGAACCCTTCAGAAATTCAGGTGCTAAAATATTTACCGACTCACGCGGGTCTCCTCTTTTCTCCCTTGCAGGTGACCCGAGGAAAAACTGAGCGCTGAGGAACCCCGGTGCAGAGGAGCCTCACTTGCAGAATTCCAGCGTCCTTGCCCCTCCTCTTACAGTTCGGCCCCCGTTTATCCGGCCGTACCAAGTTTTTGGATTGTTTTTTTCTTTTTCTTTTTGCCACACTATCTTTCAAAGATTTTCCCCGCCCCCCAACCCTCTCATTTGCTCACCTTTCCTTCCCAGTCTTCCCATTCTCCCATTGAAACCAACCATTAAACGACTCTTCAGCTCTCGGACAGCAGGAGTCCGCGGACCTCCCAGGCAGACCGCCCTCCCTCTTCGCGCGCGGGTTCCGGGCCCGGCGAGAGGGCGCGAGCGCAGCCGAGGACATGGAGGTGACCGCGGACCAGCCACGCTGGGTGAGCCACCACCACCCCGCGGTCCTCAACGGACAGCACCCGGACACGCACCATCCTGGCCTCGGCCACTCCTACATGGATCCAGCGCAGTACCCCCTGCCCGAGGAGGTGGATGTACTTTTTAACATCGACGGTCAAGGGAACCACGTCCCGTCCTACTACGGAAACTCCGTCAGGGCCACCGTGCAGAGGTACCCTCCGACCCACCACGGTGAGTCCGCCTGGAGTGCTGGAACCCTGCCAGCCGTGCCGCTTTGGTCGGGAGGAGGGGGACTGAGCCGAAGCCCCTAAGTGCCCTTACTGGTGCATTTACAAAAAAGAAAAAAAGAAAAAAAAAAGAAAAGAAAAAGAGAGAAAGAAAATTGGGGCCCGGAAATGGGCGAGGAAGCCGTTTCACTGGTTGTGAAAGTGTGTTTTAAAAAAGGGTAACAGCAGGCGTCTCTCCTAGCTGGTGTCCCTTGGGCCTAGCGCTCACCTGGCGGGCGCCGAGTTGCAGCTCTCGGTCCCCGAGCGGCTGCAGGTTAGGGGGCCCTCTGTCCCAGGCGCGGGACGCCGAGGCTCTGCCTCCGCCGAGCAAGGATCCCGAGGCGGGTCAGCCAGCGCTAGCCAAACCGGCCAGGAACTCGACTCTTTTCACAGGGCTTCCCTGTTATCTAGTAGGTTTCCTAAGGGGCGCTTCTGCCAGCGACCCTCAATTTGTTTCTCAGGGCACATTTTGATAAAGGCCCAAGAGACGTGTTTATTCCCACTCCTCTCTTTTTTAAGCTTTCCCCAAAAGTTAGTGCACTTGGTTTTTAGGCATATCTTCCCACTCATGGCTTAGGAAACGGCATTCTGGTGCTTCTACCAGTCTAAGGGGGAAAAACTACTGCCTTAAATGTGAGGGATTTTAGGTTTCCTAGAGTCCCGGCTGCACAGAATTTTCCTGCGTCTTTGCTTTCAGGTTGCCTCATTGCCTGCAACGTTGGCCTTATTCTCTCCTGAGGCCTATAGTAGTCCCCTTAGGCTCCTACAGGAAATTTAGGATCCAACAGGGTTTCTTTTTAAGTAGGAAGAATTCCAGTTGTCTCCCTCCCCCCTTTTCACCTTGAAGTTTAGGAGAGTTCTGAAAAATAGGTCCAGCCCAGGGTAGTGAGGGGAAGAAAGCTCTAACACTTTCCAGCTGTAAGTTTATTCCTAAAGAATAAATAGGAGCAAAAATTCAGGGTGAGAAAACATGAGGCTTTCTCAGTTGAGCCAGACGGGTCGGCCCTAGTCCCCCTACTCAGAGCGGGCTTTGGCGCCGTTGACATAGCCCCTCCGGCAGCAGGCGTCCTCTGCCCTGCCGCCGCCAGGTTTTAAACAATCATTTCTGCGGATGGGGCGCTCTTTGCCCATGTTCTGTGCAGATCAGCAGTTAAATGGAAATGCGGTACATGCAGACTTAATGTTATTTACTATACTACTTCCTGCATAATATGAATCTTAATCCTTAGTGTTCAGAGAACTCTGAGCCCCTAGACTCCCTTCCCTTTCCTCTCTCTTAAGATTTTAGTTTCAGTATTGTTCTTAATGGTTGAAAATAATGTCAAATGGTGAGGCAGGTCCTGTATTAAAAGATCAATAAGTGTGTGGATTTGCACTAGCAGTTTAAATGTTTCCCTCTCGGAGAGTGTGTGCTTATGTAAGTTATGGCTACCTTAGAATTGTGTATTTTAAATGAAAGCTAAATATACTCTGTGTATGAGTCATCCTTAGTTTAAAATACACATAAACTGGAATTTTGTGTCTTGGGGGCTCAAGTGAAAATCCAGATACTGAACTGGTGGAATCACAGCTTTGAGGGTATATGAGGCTTGTTTTAGTTTCTTCTTCTATAGGATTTGGGAGGTTGAGAACAGCAGAAAAAAAAAATGCCATCCCAGGGTCCAGCCTGGGAAACTTTTAACAGCTTGAGCAATGAAAATTTCCTTGCAAATCCCATTTCAGGCTTTTTGGAAGCAGCCTTGCCAATTCTGAGCAAGTGCTGCATTGGAGTTTTTGGAGATAGCCCTAAAACATCCCTTCTTCTTCCCTAAGCCTTTTCCCTGCATGCCGCTTTGGGACTGGGCCTCTGTTTAGGGTCCAGGGTTTCTCTTGGTGTGACCAGGCTCTGTCCTTCAGGCCTCATCATTCACAGCTGACTCTCTTATCAGGCTGACCGGGATTAAGTCTGGATTGGGGAATCCCAGCCATTGAAAGAAGCCAATAAATCTAGTCAGGTTCTAGAGAGGGGCCTCAGGGAATGTGATTTAGACAGTGTACCTAGAGAGGCCAAATAAGCCAAGGGACCTTGCTCCTTTCCTTCCAAGCATCAGTCAGGCACTGAGCCCTTAGTTCTGCCGAATTTAATGAGATGTGGGTGTGGGAGAGAGGGGAGTCCTCCTGCACCCAAGGAGTGCTGGTCAGGTCCTCCTGGGACCACAGGGCTTAGAGAGTAGGCCTGAACCCAGCTCCGGGTGGATGTTGGGGGTTTCAACTGGGAGCCTGGGGTACCATGGGGAGAGTCCCCACGTGTGTCTGAGAGCCACACTCATAGGCATTTCTCTCTTCTGTCCCTTTTCCACCACGGGCGTAGGGAGCCAGGTGTGCCGCCCACCTCTGCTGCACGGATCCCTGCCATGGCTGGACGGCGGCAAAGCCCTAGGCAGCCACCACACGGCTTCACCCTGGAACCTCAGCCCCTTCTCCAAGACGTCCATCCACCACGGCTCCCCTGGGCCGCTCTCCGTCTACCCGCCGGCCTCGTCCTCTTCCCTGGCGGCGGGTCACTCCAGCCCGCACCTTTTCACCTTTCCGCCTACTCCGCCGAAGGATGTCTCCCCGGACCCGTCCCTCTCCACCCCTGGCTCAGCTGGCTCGGCCCGGCAGGACGAGAAAGAGTGCCTCAAGTATCAGGTGCCGCTGCCCGACAGCATGAAACTGGAGGCGTCGCACTCCCGCGGCAGCATGACCACCCTGGGAGGGGCCTCCTCGTCGGCCCACCACCCGATCACCACCTACCCGCCCTACGTGCCCGAGTACAGCTCCGGACTCTTCCCCCCAAGCAGCCTGCTGGGGGGCTCCCCCACTGGCTTCGGATGTAAGTCGAGGCCCAAGGCGAGATCCAGCACAGGTAGGAGCCACCTCTGCCTTAGAATTCCTTTCTCTTGTTTCCGCATCTTCCTGCTTCCCTTTCCTAAATCCAGAGCCAGGCAAAAGAGACCACCAAAGGGGACCCTCAGGGGAGCTGGGGGTGCTCCAAGGCCTTCTGAGATCCATCACCTTTATTCCCATTCTTCCAGAAGAATGAGAAGAATGAGGTGTGTCCTCCTATCTCTTGTCTTGGAAAGCTAGGGGAAGGGGATCTGATTTAAAACCCCCCAGTGAGCTGGGAAAAGAAAAAGCAAACAAAAACAAAGTAGTGCCCTGTGCTGCCAGTCTAGGGACTTCTGGATTCTGCGGTAACCTTTAGCCGGTTTCTAAGACCAAATGGAAGGTCGGGGAAAATAAATCTTTAGTGTTTAATGCTAAAACGAAACCTCCTCAAACCTAAACAAACACAGGTCCCTCCTATGACCCCTTTGGCCTCTGTCAGTCTGATTGTTCCTCTCTGCTCAACTCAAAGGGGGTCATTCTGTCTATAGCAGGGGACAGTCCTTTATAGAGACATGTATAAATAAATGTGGGGGAGGGGTGGAGGAAAGGAGAGAGAGAGAGAGAGAGAGAGAGAGAGAGAGAGATAGACATGTTTTGAGGAGGAGGAAGGAACCTGGCAAAAGCATCGAATATATCTTTGCTGGAAAAGGGACTCTAGACCCAACTTCTGGGAGCTGGAGGTGGCTTCCCTTTGGGGAAGTATGAAAAGCAAATGTCCCGTGGCCCAGTTAGTTACCTGCAAGGTCGCTTAGAGCTCTCAATGAAGGCAGGGGCAGGAAGCTGTCTTAGGACATATTCCTCTGTTGATCAGAAGCCAGAGAAAGTTAAAAAAAAAAAAAAAAGCGAAAAAAGATTCTCCAGGTATATGTGTATCTTCTAACCCTGCTCATTCTCTTTCCAAAAAACAAACCCTGTTTAGAGGCATGCTGCATAGTTAGTCTATTGGTGTAGTTGCTTGCATTAAAACAAAAACAGGAGCACACATAGAAACAGATTTGTGCTTTGAGAATAAAATCATCCATCACCAATTCTGTATCTAATTGAAGCAGTTTAGTCAAAACAGAGACAGGGATTCTCTTAGACATAATTTCGAGATGATTGTCATGTCTCCAAAGGAGTGTTCATTTCAGGGTGGGCATCTATCCTGTGGTCTGCTCTAATTGTCTTTGCCACTGCTGTCTATCTGTATACTATATATATATATATATATATATATATATATATATATAAAGTGAAAATCACTTGTCATGTAAGGTTGAGATGAGCAATCTCCAAATGGGCGCTCCCCAAGCTCTGGTTTGGAAAACTTCAGAGGGAGGTTCTGGGAGCCCAGTGACCATGAGATCAGTTTTCAGGTTTTTTTCCAGGGTGACATTCACTCCGACTGCCTGAGCAGGACTGTCTCTATTTAGTTGATATGTTTTAGCTAATCCAATTATTTTCAGACTGCTGCACGCGACAGTTGCATTGTTTATCCCGAGCCAGGAACTTTAATAGAGTCCGGATGCGGTTAGGCTGACAGAAAAACTCAGACCTGCATGTTCAGTACATGAAAGTAGGCAGGAGGGAGAGGGAGGTTGGCTAGTTGGGGAGTCAAAAAGAAAGCAAGAGTTAGGGAGAGCCGCCGAGCATAGTGGCCCTCCAGGCTTGGGGGTTTAAGTGGAGGGCTGGGGAGAAATGGGGTTACAGCTTGGCTCAGAACAAGGGGCTGGACAGCAAGTCCGTATTTTGAGGTTGTAATGGGATTTTTTTTTTTTTTTAAAGTTCTTTTTACTGGTAGGGTTGTGAGGTTGGGGGAAGATCGTGGTCTCTGAGGCCGGTGTGGTGGTTTGTTGGGGGAGGGGACAGAGTGACTTTTCCAAAAGACTCTGGTTTCTTTGCCCTCGTTTCTGTGTTTGATTTCCACCCCTTCGACTGTGCACACTTTCTGTCTTAAGTTTGCTCCGTTCTTTTCTGTCATTTCATTCCTTAAGGTTGTGAGTGTGGAAGAGGAAAAAAAAAGAGCTGGAGTTTCCCTCTGCCAAACCTAGGGATACCTGCATAGCTATTTTATTTTTTCAGTGAGAGGAGGGGAGAGGAGGCCATTGCAATTTGGGTCTTTACTTCCTCCTTATTCCTTTCTCATAGACACAGAAACCAAGAATGGTGCACCTGGCCAGCGAAGGAGCTGGGACTTTTGGAGTGTGGAGGGGAAGTTTCCAGAAGCCCTCTGTGTGCAGAGGGTGGACTGGTGGGAATTCTGGAGGAGGGAATTCTCTTGGGTTTAGTGCTTTCTTCCTTCTTGCCTCTTCTCTCTTTTCTTCTTCTTTGCAAAAGCATTCACTGAATGAGGAGGCCAAGAGAGGGTTGTCAGGGTTGTTTGCTGCATTTTGGAAAAAAACGGTTGAAGCTGTGGTTAGGCACCTATTGCTTTCTTAACGCCTGGGCTTTCAGTCCTTGGATATGTCTTTGCAAACAAAAGACAAAGCCTCTTTGCAGAGGACCATTTCTCAGCTTCCCCAAACACCTTTTGACCGTGGGCATCTCTACCTTCCTCTGAAAAATCTCCTGCCCTCTTCCTACCCCCTTCACAGCCCAGTTTCAGGGTTTCAGTCCGAAGCCCAAGGGGTGTTTGAAAATGGCTGTTGAATGTCAAGAGGCCTCACAGCTCTGTGGTTCTTGTCACCTAAGAAAGAGGTGTCTGCCCGAGCAGCTCACTATAGGCAGGGGGCGAGGAAAGGGGAAGACAGAAAGCAGGAGACAGTCAGGGCCTCCATTAGGAAAATTGGCTGTGTGCTGAAGTCACAGACTAGAGGCAACAAGGAAAAAAAGAAAAAAGAAAGGCCCTCACGAGGCAATCACAAACTTGCGGAGTGAATCAAGACAGAAAATTGCTCTAGTGTGCAGAGCCCTGCCGAAGAGCAACCGTTGCTTGCTTTCAAGGGCCTTCTGAAAAGGAAGCTGTCATCCTCCCTCCTGCCTGACAAAGGAAAGGAAATCAGACTGGTCATGTCAGGCCAGGAGACCGCCCCCCCCAACTCCCCCAACCTCCACCAGTGCCGGGGTGCCTAGGAGCAGGGAAGCCGACCACACTGCTCACCTCAGCAGCCACCCTACCCACCCTACCCGGGCCCAGCCCCCGCTGCTGGTGCAGGAAGCCTGAACCTCCCCCTCCCCCAGCCTCCTGGCTCTGCCCTTCTGCCTAGAGTCCCTAAGTGGCCCCTGTCTGGACATCATGGGGAGTGGGCCTGGCAGCCCAGCCCTGACCCCAGAAAGGGGCTGACCCAGCCTCACTTGGGACAAGGAAGCAGCAGGGCCTGCAGCCTCCAGGCGAGGGCTGCTGCTGGCACCTCCTCGCCCACTCGCCCTTTCCTCTTTCCTTCACACCTCCCCCACATCTAGTCTGCCACCTCCCTCAGGCTCATGATCCAAATGAAAGGTACCTGGGTGTGAGGCACTCCAAAGCCTTCTTACAAGACTTGAGAGGAGCTGTTGACTACTAGGAAAGTGCCTTTGGCCCCCAGTACAGGGTTTTTGTGTATAATCATAGGTGCTCTTGGACACAGAGAGGGCTCTCTCTGTAGACCCCAGGCTAAGAACCTTTTTGGAATCTGGAGCAAAAGAGAGAGAGAGAAAAAAAATTTCTGCTCAAAGATTTATTGAAAGCATAAATAAGACAAAAACTACTTGCATCATTCCTGACCGACAGAAAAGAGGACCAGATTCACTTTCATTTGCCCAAGTTTTTAATTTTCCTGTAGATTTGTCCCTGGAGAACACCGCAGGCCCACAGGTGTGAACACCCGTAGTTCCCTTATTCTTGATCTGGGGGTTTCCAAAGGCCCAGTAGATCTCAGGGCTGCCAAGGCAGGTTTTTCCTCCTTTTAGGGGAGTCAAAATTCCTAAGTGCCTGTCTGGATTTTCTTCTCCAACTTCAGTCTTCTTCCTGGTAGGCTGGTATTAACTGATGAATTTCTCAAGACAAAGCAATCTTAAGGACTCATCTTTCTCTCCTGCCCACCCTGAAGGTGTCCCTCCCAGCACCTGGGCCTAACTCTGTGGGACCAACTTGAGTTGAGCTGCTTGTCCCAGCTCGCTCCTGGGTACTAAGAAAACTTGTCACTATGGGCCATCCCTTGGCCCCCTAAAAGTGAAGGAGATTCTCTTAGAAAGTATCCTCCTTTTCCTCCTGTACATTTGAAAAGAAATCAGCAAACTCTCCTAGGTCTTAAAATGGTAATTTAAGGGAGTGTCCCAAAGAACTTTGTGTTTGTAGGGGGTGAGTGTGAAGGAGCTGGGAGTGAATGCCCCTGGATCAGCCTGGCCTGGTTGAGTTTTCTGTTTATTTTGTTTGTGTTTTTGGAGAAAGAGAAACTGCAGGGAGGCCTTGGATAGTGAGCTGACCAAGGGGCACCCACTCCTGGGCTAACTCCAAATCTGCATTTGATCCTCATTCTGTCTCTTCCAACCTTCCTTTTCTGCCCTTCTCCCCACTTCCCCCTCTTCTAGATTCCTTACCTTAAGTTTGTACTGTGTTTCCCTCTAGGAACCCTAGCTGGTTGGGCTAGGGCCACAGTTCAACTTCAATTCCTGTAATAGTCACTGGAAAGCTGAGAAAAATCTTGGCATTTACTAGGGAGAAAAAAAAGAGAATGTGAAATGAATGGACCTTGTTGGGTCTTAATCTATTGCTTTGCAACCAGGGACATTTACAATTTTATTGGAAGTAAAATCTAAAGCCCCAGTACTCTAATAAGTTATCCAATTGATCAATCTATACATCTATTTATTATCTGTTCATCTATCTAGTCATTGATTAATCTTTCCTTTTTCCCTATTCTAATCTTCATTATTTAATCAATCTACATAGACAGACCCTACTGATGATAATGGTCACCTTTGTTTTCCTTTGAGGAAAATGAATGAAATGCTTTGCTTTTGCCACTGTCCAGGGCTCAGAATTTTCTCAGGGAAGTATTTCGAGTTGAAATCTGCCTTCCTTCTTTTTCCTACCTGATCTTCCCCATCAGATTGAGCAGGCCAAGAACAAGGTTCTGTGGCTATTTATTCATCTGCCACTTCTTTGGACATGATCTGTTTGTGTACAGGGAATAGTTATGCCATCAACCAAGGGCAGTAAATCTGGGCCACTTTGGAGCACTTAGAAGGAGATGGGGGTGGGAATTCTTCCCCAAAAGAGGGGGAAGAAAGAAAAAATTTTCAGTTTCACTTTTTCCTCCTAATTCTGAATGTTGTCTGCCTTTCTGTGTGTTTTCCTTCCATAAGTGACTTATCTGTGATCTTGTTTCCAGAAGGCAGGGAGTGTGTGAATTGTGGGGCAACCTCCACCCCACTGTGGCGACGAGATGGCACCGGTCACTACCTTTGCAACGCCTGTGGGCTCTACCACAAAATGAATGGACAGAACCGGCCCCTTATCAAGCCCAAACGAAGGCTGGTGAGTTCTCCCTGGAAGGACAAATCCCACACTACCCATTTTATGTTTTCCATTTCTTCTCTCTAGGAAGGGGAACTGTCTACAGGAATTTGGTTAGGATAGATCAAAGTCATGTCAGCTTGCTTAGGACAGTTTGTCCCCCCCCCCCCAAATTAGACATAGAGAAAAATGATGTATATATTTTTTTCCCATCATGTTTTTAAAGTCACCTGTTTCCAGGACATCGATTTCTGAGTTATCAAATCTGAAATGTATTCCCCAATAGGATACTTGTGTTTAGCAACACCGGGAGAACCGATTTAAAATGCATAGGAAATCACCAGGTCACAGACAGAAAAATTGAGTCTGAGGATGGACTATTCCAGAAATCATCCAGAACATGCTCCTGAAGTAGTAGAAGGAGGGCTCTCAGGAAGTAATCATAGACAGACTGGGTGCTGTGGGTAAATCTCTTGTGCTCTTGCTTTAAGGTTGAGGGGGCCAATTAGCTGAATTTCAGAAGCAACAGACATTAAGCTTATTATACTTTTGTATCCCTTCTTGGTCTTAGAAATTGAGGACTTTTCCTCAGGTAATTCCTGTGGGAAAAGTTTTGTGATTCCTGTCTTGCCTCTTGATCTCAACTAGCATATGGTGTTGTTTTCTCTTTGAACTACTATCAATAGGGTGATAACTACCCCTCCCCCCACTTTTTTTTTTAAACTTTGTTTTTAACTTCTTGATTATTAGTATTACTGAAGAAAACCTGATACTGTCAAGCATTTATGAAAACTTCCAGGAGGGGTTCGTTGCCTTTAGAACCTTCTATTGAATAGAGAGTACATGTAACTGAGACAAATAAAAGCAGACTTGGCAGATGCCAACTAACCACAGTTAAGAGATCAAAATGCTTTTTATGGTGCTGAAATTCACCAAGTGGAGAGGAAAGGAAGGGATTTCCCAATGCAGATTAATGGATGAATTGGCATCCATCAAATTCTAAGGGACAAACAAGCAAACAAAACCCTACAAAAAACACAAACAAAACAACAGCAGCAGCATTTAAAGCATCATTCGTCCTCCCGTCAGATTGTAGAACACCTTTCACGTCCTCTTTAGGAAAAGGAAAAGCTTTCTAGGGATGGAAGCGCCCACAACTTCAATTTTTGGCAGTCTCAGGTCTCTAGGCTTTATTCTGTCTGATCTTTGCCCCCATCTCCTACTTTCTCAACCTCCCCCCGCTTCTCTTCATGCAGTTTGGTATTTTTTTTTCCCTTGCTCTCATGTGCAAAGCTAACTTCCTAGGAAAAAGCTGCCGGATATCTGAGCACTAGAGATAACTCATAAACAACAACTCAGCTTCCCCAACCTAAACATCAAGATGTTTGGACAGATCAGAACAAGAAGTGTTTGAAAAAAAAAAAATGGCTGGAGGTGTTAGCACAGAATGAATGTGATCACACCACAAAAGAATGTTCTGAATCACTCAAAACCTGGCCTTAGTGGGAGAGAGAGAGAGAGAGAGAGAGAGAGAGAGAGAGAGAGAGAGAGAAAACAAAAACTAACAAAAACCCTTTTGTTAATATAAGGCATGGTATTATAGTTTTTTTTGTTTGTTTAAGGTAAAGAAGGAAAAAGGTGTAAAGGTCTCCTACTATAGGCTGCTGATGAGCACAAAAGTTTATTCGACATTTTCTTCTGTCTGCACAGATTGCAGAGGAGGGGGTCTACTTCCATTTTTCATAATTTGGTCTTTACTCACCTTTCATAGGAAATCTGTAGAACTCTGAGTAATAATTGTTTTTAATTTTAGAATTTATTGGTTGTCACATTTTAAACTGTCTTTTCTATCTTCATCATCTGCCCAGGGTTGTTTGATATTTCTAGTTCCTTAGAATTCATATAGTACAGGGAGACATTCAAAAGACATTCAGAATTTTTGTTGGTTTGTTTCTGAGCTTTTTGATGTATTTGGCTTTTGTATACTTGGAACCTTTTATTTTCTTTTTTAATCTTTGGGGCTGGGGATGGAAGCCGGGATCTTACACATGCTAAGTGCTTGTACCACTGGTAAAGCATGTGCTGAGCGTGTTCGCTACCCTTGCCCTAGAACCTTTCAATTTCTTCTTTCCTATATTTCCTGTTCCTTCACACATTGGCAGATTCACTGAAGACCACCCAACCCATAATGTAGCTAGCTGTTCCATGAGATGCATATCTAATATGCAGAATAAAGTAATGCAGAAAATAGAAGAAATAACTGAAGTGAAGATCCATAGATTTTTTTTTCTCCTTCCTGATGTTTTCATGTCTCAGAAGTAGCAAAAAGCTGAGCAGCCTGCTTTATTAATCTACTCTGCTCCTTCTAGCAAACCAAACAGTGTGGCTTTGACAGACTCTCTAGGTTTGCATGAAGTTTGTAGTATTGGAGAAGTACCCTGAGCCTGCTTATATTTGTGTTATTTTCTATATCCTGCCAAATATTGTATACTGAACTTTGTTGTTTGAAACTGTGATTTCCCAGTTGGCATTATGTGTTTGTATTATACATTCACAGTTGTCTGGCTGGGCAGTCTGGGTTATCTGACTATTTCTTTTAAAGAAGAAAAAATATAAGATGATGATAATGATCGCATGTAACCTACTTGTCAAAAATCATTAAGCACTAGTTTCACATAGGACTTTCTTCCCAAGAGTACACAAATGAAATAGTTATTTATTAAATTAGCACATGTCATAAAAGCAGGTGGGCATAGGCATGTGGAATTAAAATCAGCATTCTTGGACCTTGATGAATTATGTTCAAAATGGACCACAAAAAAGTAGCGCTTTCTCCACTTTGATAAGGGCTGTTTTTAATTTCCAGTTTCTTAGAATACAGAAAAGAAAGAATAATTAAAGAAAAAAAGAAGTCGGAACTTTGCTATTTAAAGCCCGTAGGAACATATCTGAGGAACAATTTAGTAGCTTTGAAAAGAAAAGAATTAGTCTGGTTAATTCAAAATTGCCACTGGGTTTTCCATATCTGGCCGCTTCCTGTGCTTAGCCTAACTTTTTGCTTGATAAAATGCTGATAGAAGCCAGGCGTGGTGGTATAGGCTTGTTAATCCCAGGAACGGAGGGGTGAGACAGGAGGATTGAAAGTTTGAGGCCAGCCTGGGCAGCCTGCGGAGACAGTCCCAAAATAAATATATATATTTACTAAAAAAAAAATAGGAAAGAGGGCTGGGATATATTTCAGTGGTAGAACACTTACTTGCTTAACACATGTGAGTCCCTGTGTTCAATCCCCAGTACCAAAGTGGGGACAGTGTAGAAAAGAGCACCGAGATCCCTGTAGTTTTCATTCCATGTTTAACCACAGCAGAGTTTTCCTTCTTTTTCTCTCGTTCTTTCCTTTTTGGAGCTGGGTATTCAACCTGGGGCTTTGTGCATGCTAAACAAGTGCTCTACCCTTGAGCTACAGCTTGAGCCTCCATATCAGAATTTCCTTGATCACAGATAAAGAGTAAATGTATTCTTCCTTCTCTTGCCTTTTTTTAATAATATTGAATCTAGGAGCAGGAATAGTTTTACAGTGCAGTTTTGTTTTCATCATGGGAGGTGAGGAGAAGGAGAGAGGAATATTTTAGAAGTGACCCAAGTTTGTATTTTTTCCAATAGTTTTAATAGCTTAATTTTTTAAAAAGAAAGTATGGACATAGAAAATAGTCACCTGATAAGTTTAAATGCATCCGAAAGTGAAAGAAGCTGGGCTCCATGGTGCATACCTGTAATCCCAGCAACTTGAGAGTCTAAGGCAGGAGAATCACAAGTTGAAAGCCAGCCTGGGCAACTTAGTGAGACCCTGTCTAAAATAAAATAAAAAGGGCTGAGGGGGTTGAGGCTGTAGCTCAGTGGTAGAGCTCTCATATAGCACAAGTGAGGCACTGGGTTCGATCCTAAGCACTACATAAAAAATAAATAAATAAAATAAAGGTATTGTGTTCATCTGCAATAAAAAAAAAGGCAAGGGGAGGGGTGCTGGGGATGTAGCTCACTGGTAGAGCACTCCTGGGTTCAATTCCCTGTGCCACAAAAAAGAAGAAAAAAAAGTGAAAGAACCTGCGTGTCCTGGAAAATAAAGGTAGCAATGTAAGCAAAGAATTAAAATTCAAGTTGAGACTGCCATGTGACCTGCCACGTTTCTCGGTGAACAATAAATTTCATGAAGTTGTCATAAGAGCAAAAGGGGGGTTCAGGATTCCTGCTGAATAGCAAAATTACTTGTTCTTTTCATTTTGTCTCAATAAATGATGACCACCTAAAGAGGTTGAGAGTGGTTGTCTTAGGAGTGGCAGGTGACCAGGTCCCAAAGTGTTGCTTATGTAGAATTACACATGAACGTGTTGACTTCAGTCGTGATGCCCACAGGTGCCTGCCACATACATGCACATTTTTTATCCTCTTGGGGAATGAGTTTCCTGGGTGTTGTTTGCACTGTTTTCTTCCTCCGCAATCTAGCATTTCTTGATTTAGGATCTGTCCAATGCTTGGGTTTGTCCTTTTACTGTTCCGTGTGTCCTAGATGGCTAGTCGCCTATTTGAGGACTACCGTGTGGGAGTTGTGCTTGAGAAAGACCTCTTGTGGGTCTGCGCTTGGTGACTAGGAGCACTGAAAGCCTGGTGCCAAAATAGTTGCTAACTCAAAATTGCTTCCCTTAAAGATGTGCTTTGTGGGGGTAGAGGAAGGGGATGTTGTTCTCAGGGAGATGGCACTGGCTCTCTGCTCTTCCATGCTGGAGAACAGCAGGAAAATTCATGTTACTATAGTCCCAGACTCTCTTATCCAGTGGATGGCTTTATTTTTCTTCTCGAGCCAGATTTGGGGATCTTTATAACTTTCATGTGGGCCACTTGCTAGTTTTGATTTCAATGATAATGTCTGACTTTTTTTTTTTTTCAAGCTTGTCTCAGTAGTACTTCTGCCAACACATTTAACATTTGTTTTGATTTTACCCACTCCTCTTTCCCCACCCCAAGTCTGCAGCAAGGAGAGCAGGGACATCCTGTGCAAACTGTCAGACCACCACGACCACCCTCTGGAGGAGAAATGCCAATGGAGACCCTGTCTGCAATGCCTGTGGACTCTACTACAAGCTGCACAATGTAAGTGGAACTGGGACCAACAGGAACAGTCTCTCTCTGGCAATGCCTGATGACAGCATCACCACTGTCCCAGGCAGACCCCATGATAGATTTGTGTCACCGTCCTTTGGGTCAAGTAATGGGCCTCAGATAATTGATATAGTAGGACCCGATGATTTTGTTGCTGTGTGCAGTGGCGCATGCCTGTAATCCCAGCAACTACAGAGGCTAAGGCAGGAAGATCGCAAGCTCAAGGCCAACTTGGACAACTTAGTGAGACCCTGTTTAAAAAAAAAATCGGGCTGAGGGCATAACTCAGTGGTGGAGCACCCCTGGGTTCAATTCCTGGTACCAAAAAAGGTTAATAGAAAATGACTTTGTCATCGTAGCCTTGCTGAGATGGAAAGGTTTTTTAAAGACAGACAACAGCACTAACCCACTTAGTATTATTGAATATACTGTATGTGATGCAGCAATCTGATATGCTTAGTGGGCTTGTCTGAATTTTTAGGGAGAAAAATATTCTCCTTAGAAAACACAAGGAGTCACCAGTTCTATTTTGATGTTTCCTTGCATTTTAAACTTCTTGCAAAAAGAGAAGACGCGGGTGTGCCTGAGGGAGAGAGTGAAAGAGAAAGGTAAATAGAATTGTAATGCGTAGCACAGCAACTCCTGAAACTAAGAAGACCCGATTCAGTTACTGAAGGGTAAAAAGTCTTGGCTAAACCTGTGCAGTGAATTTCAAATGGGTTCTCTGTATAAACGACGTGCAGTGAAATCGTCTGTGAGATTTCATCTGATGTCTTTGTCCCAAACAGCTTTCCCATGCAGAGAACTCCTGAGCCCAGAGCTCCATGAGGTTGTCACACCAGGAAAAGAAAATTTTTTTCTCCTTCTTATATCATAGTATCAAAATTATAACTGCTGGTCACTTGGGCTTAGCTTTTCTAATCTTTTAATTTAGGGTCCTTCCATTTTGTAATATCTTTACCTTAATTTTTTCAGGTTTTTTTTCTTTAGTTATACATGGACACAGTACATTTACTTTATTTAATTTTATGTGGTGCTGAGGATTGAACCCAGTGCCTTACGTGTGCCCGTTGAGTGCTCTATCACCAAGCCACAACCCCAGCTTTTTTACAGTTTTTTTTTTTTTTTTTTGGTACTGGGAATTGAACTCAGGGGCACTCAACCACTGAGCCACATCCCCAGCCCTATTTTGTATTTTATTTAGAGACGGGGGTCTCACTGAGTTGCTTAGCTTCTTGCGATTGTTGAGGCTCCCAAGCTGCTGGGATTACAGGCATGTGCCACCACGCCTGGCGAGGCCTAAATTTTCATTGATTTTAAAGAAAAAATTGTCATTGTGATCTCTTTCTCTTACCCCTCTTTGGCTTTTTCTGATTCTCCTAAAGTCTCTGCTAGACTGAACTGGGAAGAGGTGGGAATTTTTGCTTGGGGCTATTCTGGCAGCAAATTCATTTTACCCAGGAATACCCGGCAATTGGGGCGAAAGCTTTTCTGGCTAGATTGTTTTGAGTCACAGAGAATTACCCTACCTCTTTTTCAATTTGGGGGAACAAGTTGCTCAGATTCCCAGGGTGCCCTATAAAGTCCTCTCCCTGTCTGCGATGTCACATTGTCTCTTGACATGTCTCCATGTAGTTAGTGCCCAGTACTAACGATCTAGAGTCTTGCTACATCTAGAGTCTTGCTACGGATGATCTGTTATTCTCCCTCTGACGCTGGGGCTGTTGGCATATGTACATTTATCAACAATTAAACCCAAGTTCTGGTTTCACTTTGGGGAATTTACTTACTCAGTGCAGTGGAGATAGAAAGATTTGTGATAAAAATCTGGCAGATTTAGGGCATTAGTGTTTATTAGCAATTTAGTCATTTGCACAGCCTGTGAAGTTATTTTTTGAGTTGTCACTTATAACTTTTCAAGAACTTTCATGTTTCTTGAGTACATTTGAGCCTCAAATAGTCCTGTGATGTAGACAGGGCAGAAATTCTTTTTATTTCAGTTTTAGTTGAGGAAGTTATGACTCAGTAAAGCAAGTGGCTTAAGCAAGGTAAAATGACTGACGAAGCAGAGAGGATCCTGGCAGATTTCAGGGCATCAGAAGGCCTTTCTGGGAGGTGGTGGCATAAGGATCGATAGGAGAGCCTTGGAAAGCCAACACTCTCTTATTCTCAAATATAACAGAATTCTCATGAATTATGTGCCTATATCTGTTCTTTTCCTATTTCCATGCAAGCATAGGAATTATGGGAAATTATCTATAAACTTTGATAATTAGTCATGATGAGCTATTAATCTCACTTGTATCCCATATGTATCTATGTATGATATGTATGTGTGTGTGTATGTATATTTCTGAAGAACATTAATTTTTTTCTAGCCAGGGTGGGTCTCAAGCATGCTAGGCAAGTGTTCTGCCACTGAGCCACATCCCTAGCCCACTTAATTTTCCAAATCAAAGAAAATCCAAGGACACTTTTTCACTGCTTCCTGCTATCCTGTTTGTATGTACCCTGGATGGAACCCAGGGCTTTGTGAGTGCTAGGCAAGCTGAGCTATACCCCCAGCCCCTCCTACTGATTATAAATTGGCTCTGTCTTTGTGGCTGGGCACCAGTGGGGGAGAAAGAAATTTCCTCATCGTCAGGTATGTGTTTTTATGTCTTCTCTAGTTTCATAGGGATTCATTGAAGGAGGTGATGTATATGTATTTAGCAGAGATAATAACCTATTGCCATTTTCATCGCAGAGCATTTTGTTCTGCCCATGCAGATATCTACACACTATGCCACTGAGTTGCCTTCTTCTTATCTGGGCATTTAGATAACTGCATATCTCAGTGGTGTTGTGACTAGTTATCTGAAGCTGTGTGGCCATCTGGTAACTAGATATTATATTCAGATACCTGGCTATGTGTATCTAGATATCCCGTGTACAGAGCAGTGTATCTAGATGTTATCTCTAGACATGGAGATTTGATGTGGGAGTAGATTCCTGTCATCTCTGTAGGCTGCATCTTTATCTTGATGATAACTTGAAGAAGGAACCCTGAAACATTCTTCTGGCCATGACCTTTCTTGGCTCTTCTGCTTTCACTCACTCTGCCTATCCTGGCACAGGGGTGGGGAAATAAGGCCTCAGGGGGCTCCATCCCTCCTCCTCTCATGTGACCTCTTATAGCTCTAGGGAGCTGCATGTTTGCTGTGCCAAGCGGGTTGATCCCTCTTGGCCAGTTGGATCCTCTATTCCTTAACTGTCATTTTCTAGCTTCAGTAGCAGATAGGTAGATCCTGAAGTGGAGAACCTCTGTCTCCACACTGGCAGAAGGGGCATCCTCCCGAGGAAGTCAGGAATGACTGGCCCCTGATACTCCTTGAGTTTCTTTGTCACATTTCCCGGGGAACTCATCCAGATGTGTAGCTGGCTCTCATGCTGTTGGGATCATCCTGATGCTGACTCTGTGGGGTTTTGCCTGAGCAACTGATCTTGATTCTGGGCCCCCAAAGCCAACAATTAAGTTTTTCAGCAAACAAGGGTGGGTAGGCTGTTGTAGAGAGTGATACTTGTTGTGGTCTCTTTACTCTGGTTTGTTCTTGGTCTGACATTTTTAGATGAGCGCACCTTTGTGCTAATGGAGTGCCTTGGATCCCATAGATGGATATTAAAGACTTGTTGATCGGTCGCTTTAGCTGTTTGTCTAGTCAGAAGCGGAGAGTCAGTACCAGGGAGAAGTACCTGGGGATAGAACCCAGAGTTGTGTGTGTATACACTCTACCAGCTAGCTAAATCCTCAGCCCTTAATCTAAGAAACTCTGGAGAAATAAAACCAATTATATTTTATTTCAGTTACCAAAGAAATAGAATTCTACTAGGTGGGCCCTTGGAAATGCAAAGTTCCTGGAGGAAAAATTTCTTCCAAATTATTTATATTGATGATCTTAATTGATAAGCAGTGCTTGGAGAACTTCTTCTGTGGTCTCTGGTCTCTGACAGCCATAGGAGCCCTTCCCCTTGACACCTGGACTGTGGTACTTTGGGTCCCTGAAAAGGACCCCAAACTGAAACAGGTCCCCTGACTGGCAGCCAGTGGAACCTGTGCCCTTGTGCGAAAGCCTGTGCCATTTCAAAGGCAGCAAAAAAGTAAAAAAAAAAAAAATTGATCTTTGTTTAGATTAACAGACCCCTGACTATGAAGAAGGAAGGCATCCAGACCAGAAATCGAAAAATGTCTAGCAAATCCAAAAAGTGCAAAAAGGTGCATGACACACTGGAGGACTTCCCCAAGACCAGCTCCTTCAACCCGGCTGCCCTCTCCAGACACATGTCCTCCCTGAGCCACATCTCCCCTTTCAGCCACTCCAGCCACATGCTGACCACGCCCACGCCGATGCACCCGCCTTCCGGTCTCTCCTTCGGACCTCACCATCCTTCCAGTATGGTCACCGCCATGGGTTAGAGCCCTGCTTGATGTGCACAGGTCTCCAAGCGAGAGAGAGTCCCCCCGACCCCCTTCTACTTGCGTTTTTGCAGGAGCAGTATCATGAAGCCTAAAAGCGATGGATATATATGTTTTTGAAGGCAGAAAGCAAAATGATGTTTGCCACTTTTGCAAAGGAGCTCACTGTGGTGTCTGTGTTCCAACCACTGAATCTGGATCCCATTTGTGAATAAGCCATTCAGACTCATATTCCCTATTTAACAGGGTCTCTAGTGCTGTGAAAAATTGCTGAACATTGCATATAACTTATATTGTAAGAAATACTGTACATTTGAGGAAGACTTTATTGCACCTGGGTAGCTGTATGAAAGGCATGAAGGACGCCAAGATTTTTAAGGAGTATGGGGAAAATAAAAGTATGGAAATTCAGAAGAAACTAGGTCCGATATTCAAATGGACAAACTGCCAGTTTTGTTTCCTTTCACTGGCCACAGTTGTTTGATGCATTAAAAGAAAAAGAAAAAAAAAAAAGAAAATTAAAAAAAAAAAGAAAAATATATATAAAAAAAAAAAGAAAAAAAAGTTGTAGGCAAATCATTTGTTCAAAGCTGTGGGCCTCTGCAAAGGAAATACCAGTTCTGGGCAATTGCTGTTAAAGTCACAAATTGCCATCGAGGGTTTCAGAGTGTCATTTCTAGGCCTACATGCTTTGTGAACAAGTCTCTGTAATTGTTGTTTGTATGTATAATTCAAAGCACCAAAATAAGAAAAGATGTAGATTTATTTCATCATATTATACAGACTGAATTGTTGTATAAATTTATTTACTGCTAGTGTTAAGAACTACTTTTTTTTTTTTTTCCTTTTTCGGTTTTAAATATTTTTCTTCTCTCTCAATTTTTGGTTGAATAAACTAGATTACATTCAGTTGACCTAAGGTGGTTGTGCTCTGGAGGGTTTCTTTTTTCCTTTTTGTTTTTTGGATGATATTTATTAAATAGCTTCTAAGGGTACAGTAGTATCTGTCTCCTCACTCATTCCTCCTGCGGCCTGAGCTACGAGGGTGGCAGTGTATGAGCTACCCGCTTGCATGTCAGCCTCCCGAACCGGACAGGCCACATCCTGAGAGCCAGCCTGGCTGACTGTCATGTCCCGTGTTAGTGATCACTGTCTTTAAACAGTCTGTTAATAATGCTATAAAAATAATAATAAAGTTAAAATATTTAAAAAAATCAAAATGACATCGTATCAAAGTGGTGGCCAAGCTCTTAGAGAAACTGGTAGCTCTTGCTAATTTAAGAATAAGGAGTCTTTAAAAAAAAAAAAAAAACCAAACCCAGACATGTTCAATTGTTCACTGGGAGACAATGCTGACCCCAGATGGGCAACTCCTATTCCTTTGGGAAGCTGGGAGTATTTGGGATTTTGCTGGAGCCCAGATGAATTTGTTCTGCGGCTGGAACAACTTCTGGGGTCCCCTAGTGAGCTGCAGTTTCTCTTCCCGCTCTTCTGGTGTACCTAACTGATAATCTCAAGGAGAAGTGGGAAGGTTTCCGGCTGAGATTTGCAGGTGAAAGTGGCAGCCACTGCATGTAAGCTAGCTCGGCTGCTCTTAGTTCATTTCTGATTTGCTTTTCTACTGTTGAACTGAATAACACCACAGTGGAGGGTTTATTGGGATGTTTGGGAAAAATGAAATAACCATTTTGTAACTGACGCTGTATAGTTTCCTTTTACTCTGTCGACAGAATGTGTAACTATGGCACACATTTAAATATCTCTGTTAATCGCCTCTCTGCTTTCTTAGCAAATATTTTAAACCTAAAGCTAAATGTTGAAATAAAGGAGTAGAGAATCACTGAGATGCAAATGGAGATCTCACTGGCTCCTGATTAATGACCAAAGTCTGAATGTTGTTTCCGATTATCTTTGAAGCACTAAGCGAAATGATCATCGATCGCCACATTAAACTTGGGAGATTTTATTGTAGAGTTCCAAGTCCCAGGGTTTGCCACTTTCTTTTCTTCATGAGCAGATTTGAGTTAATGCCCTTTCACCTTAAGATCTGGGAGTTCAAATTCTTGACATTCTTGAAGTGGGAAGGGGTGGGGTGGGGGGGCACAGAAAAATCACAAAGTCAGTACCTCTGCTAAGTTTTGTTTTAGGTACTGTAGTGTTACTGGCCTGTTTCCTCCTAGTCCTTCTTAAGTGAGATGCCATTTCATGTTTGTGTACATTGATTTAATCTAAGATGTTTCTAGAAGATGATGCAAAGCTTTAAAACATATATAATATATATGTGTGTATATATATATATATATATATATATATATATATATATATATGATAACAATGATTCAGTTTCTTTAGAATGTTATCATGTTTTCATGGCTTCAGTGATTTTGTCTATATAAGACACTGAAAGAGCAAGAGTGGCCAGGATTTAATCTAGAAAAAACAGCAAGATTGTGCATCTAAAATATATTAAATTGTACCCTCAGTTTTCATTCAGTTTTTCCTCGATTGTTAACAGTGCTTTTATTAATGCATTATAGTTATACATCATAGTGGAGTTCATTTTGACATGATCATGCATGCATAGAATATAATTTGTTTTATTTCAGTCCTGTTTTGCTTCACTTTTGAAATCGCTGCATTAGCTCATCCATTAGAGAAATATTTGAAAAATATGTGTTTTTTTTTGTTTGTTTTGGAAATAACTTGTGATTTGGTTTAGTTCTTTAAAACATTTTAAAAAGTACACTAACTTATGTATAGAAAAAAAGAATAAACTGCAGTTTGGTATTTCTAAACTCCTCATATACCTAACGGTGGAAGTTTATAAGTAAAGACTCTGGATTTAAGCACTTCTTTCCTTTATTCAACAAATACCTAGTGAGTGTCTACGTTGAAGTTCATTTAAAACCACCTTTTTAACAATATGCTTTAAAAAAATCAGACCAGGAAACAGAGAAACAAGACTCCAATGATGTCATTCTTGCTTTGTGACATTTACCTTGTTATTCCCCTTTACAATGAACTACATGAACTGTGGTGAGGCTCCTGACTGGGCCTCTGAGTTAGTCCCCAAGCAGACGAGTTGTGGTAGAGCTGGGGTACCCAGAGCCAGCCTTCTGAGATCAGTATCTATTATCTAAGTTTTAAAAAGTCCTTTTAATGCTTAGCCCTCATTACGAGATTACATTTTAGTATTTCATAAGTCGAATTGTGCAAAGGGATCAAATGCTTCCCAGTCTCTGCACCCCTGACTTGAGTTTTGTAAAGTACCTGCTTACAACAGCTCACAAACTCACAGACTCACAAACTCACATGCAGTCCATTGTCTGCTTCTGATATTTTCCTCACAATGATGAATTGTCCTTTTCAGCATTTCAAAGAGTTAAAGGAGTTATTACTCTCTTTTCTATTTTGTTCCATTCCCCTGTCCCATATCCTTCCCCCCTCCAGCAAACCCCCTCTCCTAGAGCCATTTTTGTGATCCTTCCTGGACAAAAGTCATTCTTGACCCCTCTGTAATTTCCAAGCAAAGGAGAGATTAAAAGGCCCAAAGAAAACATTCGAAGGATGGCATATAGTTTTATGTACGGGACAAAAGTTGTAGCTATTGTCTAGATCAACTGAGCAGCATAGCAACCCCTCTCCCGCATTTCTAAATGAATCGAGCTCTGAGAAGCATTTTCACTTCTGTGTATACCATCCAGCTGAACAGTGCAACACTTTCCTGGATTTGACTTTGTCCAAGGGTCCAGACACCCTAATGAAAGTGTCCAGGGAAGGGAAAACCCTGGAATTCAGAGAAACTCCTTGATTCTTTGAACGTGTTTCGGACTATACTAGAAGCATGGAAAGTTGGGCTTCACTCCTGGCTCTGCCACTAATTAGCAGAATGCTCTGAGGCCATTTATTTGATTTTTCTGGGAGTCGACTCCTTATCTAGGTAATCTCTTAGACATCTCTAAGACCCATTTAAAAGGGGAAAAATGCCGTGATTCCATAGGATATGTATATATTTTTGAGACTATCCTTTATTATTAAATTTTGAAATTTTGGAAAGTGGTGCTCGAAAAGCCTGGTGACGGCCCTTCCACTTTCTGGTGAAACACAAATTAACTTGTATTTTATGACTGTCAACCCAGGACAAGAGTCAGCGTCTCCGTCTTTGGATTCTCTGCTTTCTGAAATGTGTCCAGACTCCTCTCGAGCTGAATACACAGGACTTGCTAGTGCTGCTGATTTTGGCAGCCTGGTCCATAGTTCTCTCATCCATTGTGTAAAGAAATTCTGCCTGAATTGCTTACAGCCTATTCTCGGGATACAGCCAGAGTCCAATCTTTCTTTTTCCTTGTCCTCTCTCTCTTTCCTTTGGGAGAAGAGGATAAACAGTCAGTAGATCAACGTGGGGGAATTAAAAAAAAAAAAAAGTAGATCCTTTCAGGGTGCTTGGTCCAGATTCTGATATCCCTGGTCCCTTCCTGGCTAGCCCTTGAGCTCCTTTGCAGGGGATCCTGGTACATTAGCTACATTGTCTGTGGTGCATTTTTACAATCCCCTGTCATGTCTGTGTGCAGTTTGGCAGGCTGCACATTGGAGTGGGGATTTGGAGAGTGGAGCCGTTCACCCCGCCCTGCCTCCCCCAGGTCTCCAGCTAAGCAAAACCTTTGCACTACGGTGGAACACTCATCTTACTGCCCTTGGTGAGGGTGCCTGGTCCCCAGTAAGAGCCCAAGAGGTGTGTAGACACCTGGAGAGGAGTTTGTGCTTCTACAGAAGCAACTTTGGGCCTAGAATTGTATAACTTAGGAGAGTAAAGTGGAGATACAAAGCCACCTCAGAGATTTGGTCTTTACAGTGCCTGAACTACAAGGTAGTCTACAAAGAAACCAGGTGAACTGTTTTCTTTTGGGGGTGGGGGTGGGGGCCAAGATAGGGAAACTCTGTAGGGATAAGAAATTTTCAAAAAATGAAGGTTCTGTTTTTCTTTGATGAAAAAATATTAGTTAATACTTACTGACCAAATTCATAAATACCCAAAACATTTTTTAAAAGAAGCAGAAGAGGGGCTGGGGATGTGGCTCAAGCGGTAGCGCGCTCGCCTGGCATGCGTGCGGCCCAGGTTCGATCCTCAGCACCACATACAGACAAAGATGTTGTGTCTGCCAAATACTTAAAAATAAATATTAAAATTCTCTCTCTCTCTCCCTCTTTCTCACTCTCTCTCACTCTTTCTTTAAAAAAAAAAAAAGAAGAAAAAAAAATAAAAGAAGCAGAAGAAATAGGCTTTTCATCAGGGCTGTTGAATTGCCTATGAGTAGTCTTTTGAACAGTTTAGCTTGAATACCTTCATGAGTCTTATAGATTCCTGCGGTGGAGTTGGGGGGAACTCAAGTGGGATTGGGGGGAACTCAAGTTTGGTGTTTTCTTTTCTTGTGAGCAGTTTTGGGGATTGAAACGTGCTAAGCAAGACTTTACCACTGAGCTACATCCCCAGCTCCAGTGTTTGCATTTAAAACTACATTTCATGAATGTGAAGGTGTTGGTAATAGAAGCCACCTTGGGAAAGGTGGCCCCTCTCTCTTCTTTTCAGGAGAGGCTCTGCCGTTCTTTTTTGGCCACTGTCTCATAGCCATGCCTAGGGCAATTTGTTTGCTGATTGAATTCCTACCCTGCCTGTCACTTTTAAATCTATGTGTGTGTGTGTGTATGTGTCGTGCTAGGGATTGAACCCAGAACCTTGTGCATTTACAGTTCCGAGGGTCAGAAGCCTGCAGTCAGTTTCATTGGGCTAAAGTCATGATGGTGGCTGGGTCAATTTCCTCTGGAGGCTTTAGGTGGAGTCTCTTTCCTTACCTTTCCTAGCTGGGGAGTCGCCTTTGTTCCTTGTCTCATGACCCTTTGTTACATCACTCCAACCTCTCGCGTCCATCATCACATCCTCTACACATCTTTTGTCAAAAAATCGGAGCTGTTCTTTGCCCTGCAGACAGATATGGTTGAGAGGTTACAGTAGGGAAGGGATCTGATTCCCTCCCTCCCTGTGTCGAGTGTGCAGGGTGAAGCTGGGAAGCTTTTCTACTCCGCAAAATTAACAAGACCCAACTGGGGATGGAGCCCACCATTTCATCTTTATTTTCCTCGGGCACGAATCAACTGAAGTTGGCATCAGACTGTAGGTCTACCTGAGACCAAGCTACTAGTTAAGGAAACCAGGAAACCAGGAAGCCCCAGGCAGTTTTATACATGGCTTCTCACATGGGAATGACTCTGGTTCCTTGGATCTCCAGGTGAGGTGGGAGTGTGATGTTCTTCACTTTAGGACAAATACTTTGAGACATGTTGACACAATGACTTCATGCAAGATGTCTCAGGAAGGCAGGTAGGAAACCGTCTCTCGGTGACTTCTTGCTACTTCGGGCCTTTCTGTAATGATAGTGACCTCTGTTATGCTTCCCTTTGTAATTTTGTTGTAAATGAAGGTATTTTTGTGACAGGATTTTGCCCAAAGGAAAGGGTGTTTTGTTTTGTTTTAGGATGGAATTTCTGAGACCATAGTGGGTGAGAAGTGGGAGGTTTCTGGGTGGGAGACAGTCTTCTCTCAGCTCCCAATAAATTATACCAAGCAAGTGAGCATCTAATCCATCCATGTGTGGAGTCAACCCTTCCCTTAAGAGGTTTGCATCTCTATGGGGCAACAAGATGTGCCCAAGAACAATCAAATTGGGAGGAAGCCTCTGGCTCACCGGTTGAGCAAGTTTGGATGTTCAATCCTGTGCTCACAGAAAGAGACGGGAGGTCTTTGTCTCCCTAATTGGATCAGGGGGCCTGCAGCTGCTACTTGGGCTCTACGTGTGACAGT